ATGACAAATTGCTGGTTAATACCCACATTAATTCATTTTCCCCTTCAGAGTTACATTTGCTGTGCCTGCAGAACCATCCTCTGCTCGTTTTCTCAAGGTGATATGCTAAATCCTGCTCCCTGGACCATGGCACTCAGCTCTTGCTGGAATGTGATCAAGCTGCAGACGTGGGCTGAGGGAATCGCAGGGAATCTGCACTGCTGAGCACCACGGCCACACCCTGGCCTGCTCCAGTGGGGCAGGATTTGACCCCAGACTCAGACCTCTGACAAAGGGGCTGAGTGAGCCCAGTGCTGCAGCCTGGCTGTGGGTGCTCTGAGCACCCATCTCTGTGCCAGCAGTGCTCCCAGGTGCTGCTGCTGCTGTGTCTGTGAGTTCCTGAGGTACCTGTCACACCTCCACACCGCCTCACGATGGTCACTCCATCCTAAGCCTTACTCTGGGTCACTCTTGACAATACAAGGAGTGAGTTTAGAAAGTAATGACTTCTACAGAAAGGGAGAGTTTTGAAGAAGAGCAGAAAGGGACCAAGATTCCCCGTTTTGGATGCCTATTTGTGTACCAGACCGCAGCTGTGTTTATGGGAAGAGACATTTTCACATGTCAATAATTTTCATGCACACCAGGCCTTGTGCAACTTTTTCTTTCCATTTACAATATTATGTATTTTATATGATAAACTTGAAGTGAGGCTTTCGTGCATGAATGATACAGTTTCAATAATATTTTTTCATATGCAGAGACATTTTGTTTTGATCTCATGGGGCATGAGTCAACTCCTATTTCGAAGCCACTGGAGTCCTTCCAGTGACTTTCCCAGAGCCTGGCTGACTGGGAAGGTGAAGCCTGATGCATTGTAGGTGCAAGTCAGCATGCCCTGTCGAGGCTCAGAGCAACTTGGTAGAGCAGCTCAAACAAAAAAGGCTCAATCAAGAAACTGTGTCAATAGCATTCAGTGAGCTTGGTGCAAAACTAGAGTCTCTGCCCCAGAAATGCACATGCTGCAACATCACGAGCCCCTTGGAGAAGCTGGCAGCAGTGAGTGCTCAGCACTGCAAGATCCACAAAGTGCCCATCCAGAAAAGGTTCCAAGTCCCTTAACCTCAGGGCTGCAGGAGTCAGCTACAGAACTCATCTGAGTGGGACAAACATGACCCTGGGTTTCCTGGATTGCCCAGGCCAGGCCCTGAACCCTCACAAATGCAGCAGCCCTGTGACCTGACCTGGCTGCTTGTGAGAGCTGCCTGCACAGTGACACTGTACGGTGACACTGCACCGTGACACTGCATGGTGACACTGCATGGTGACACTGCATGGTGACACTGCATGGTGACACTGCACGGTGACACTGCATGGTGACACTGCATGGTGACACTGCATGGTGACATTGTATGGTGACACTGCATGGTGACACTGCATGGTGACACTGCACAGTGATACTGAACGGTGACACTGCACGGTGACACTGCACGGTGACACTGCACGGTGGCAGTGCATGGTGACACTGCATGGTGATATTCCACAGTGACACTGCACGGTGACATCTCCCATGGAGAGCCCTAAACATGCAAGGGTGTTTCCCATGAAGGCTTCCCAGACTCCCCACACAAGTGTGGGATCCCACACAAATTCAGGCATGTGCCCATCCCATATATATGAATTTTATTCCCCCTTTCTGCAGACTGCTGAAAGAATCATTTTGGTTTTTGGTAGGAACAAGTTTCGGTGGGGAAATAACAGGTTCCCCAATTCAGCAGAATTTTAGCAATTTGCCTCAGCTCAGAAAGATGACCCTGTTCTGTAGGGTGAACAAGGAAGAGAAACAGATTCTGAAAGACAAAAAATGAGCAAGAAACAGGTCAGGTGCCCAAAGCTACTTCCTCGCTGTTCACAAGGCTCCCACTGTGTCACTAACAGAGTCCAGGGCCTGTCAGTGCCACAGGGCTGGCCAGAGGGGTTTGTGCCATGCACAGGGAGCTCCTGCCAGGCAGCGAGTGGCACCCTGGAGAGGCTGAGCAGCACTCACCAAGGAGGGCCCAGCAGGTGGTGGCCTCTGCCTGGCTCTGCTGCCACCCTGGCAGGGACCTGGGGCTGGTACCTCGTCCTCCAGCACTGGCCCTGCTGAGGAAACCCTGCGTGGTTTGGAAATTAAGTGAAGTATTTTGTGTTTATGAAACACAGTTTGAAAAGGGGACTAGTGGTGTTTACACACAAGCTGGACAGACTCTAGCACGGTGCATGCTCTGTTGTGTCAACTCCTGCACCTGCATAAGGTATTTTAAAATATCCCCGTGAAGTGAGGGAGCCAAACAACTGGGTCCAGTCAGCCCTGCCTGTGCTCCCACTAGAGCCACATTGAACATATTTGGTAATGGAGCTGTGGGATGCTGGGGAGAATCTGCTCTCCAAGGAGCCTTTGCCCCTGTCTGAAGTCCAGGCTGGCCAGAAGCAGGGTGTGGAGCTGCAGGGGAGCAGGTGCTGGAGCAGCCTGGGTGCAGAGCTGATGGAGGCTCCTCCAGGAGAGGGAGGACCTTGGGAGGAGCCCAAGTGTGGCAGCGCTGCAGCCCGCTGCTGGCACAGGGAAGCAGCAGCTCAGCTAACACTGCCTTCATCCCCCCAGGCAAGGAGGAGGCTTGGCCAAAGAAGAATGAATTTGAAGCACATTTTCTTGTGTTTTCCCAAACTACCAGAGTTACCAATGTTCTTCTCATTGTGTGTTTTGGTTTCCTAAGCCAGAGGGTGCCTGGACCCCTTCTTAGCAACACAGGTTCTCTTTTTTGTACCACCTGCAGAAGGTCCAGCCTGGCTGTGTTTGCCTGTAGAGTGACACCAGGATTCAGTCCATAGAAGGTTGTTGACCTGGGAAGAGAGAGCTTCTAGAATTTAAGGGCTGGGCGATTTCTTGGAAACTGCCTTATCAGCACAACTGCAAGCTGGAGCTTTAACAACCCTGCACGTCCCTAGTCCCTCCTCCTGCAGTTCAGTGTCTATATGCTCTGCACATATGTTTATTTTGTAGTTTTCCATTTCAAACAGCTTTGGGCCCAGATTGCCACAGAACCATGAAGGCAGGATCAGTTGCTGAGCTGACACTGAAATCAGGGGTCGGGGAAGTCCTGAACCAAGCCAGCAGGTGTCTGTGCACAGAGGCTGGTTCCAAGAACCTCATGTGCCCTTCCTCCCCTGGTGGAGAAGGGAACCATGAGGGGGGGGTCAGAGGTTGTTATCAGCAGAGCAAAAGGTGCTGAAAAGGAACAGAGAGGCATTGGCTTTGCATGGCAAGGACAGTCACCAGGGTGAACACTGGAGCTTGGCTGAGAGGGGATGGATGAGTGCAGCAATCCAGGGATTGAAAACAAAACCTGGCAATGCATTAAAGTCTGCTGGAGGCATGAGCCTGCACTTACAGCTTCAGGCACAGGGGTAGGACAGGCTGGGTCACTGTGAGCCCCCAGGTTGTCTGTAGTGCCTCAAACCTTCCTGGCTAGAGAAAATCTGGCAGCCCAGGCAGAGCTGCCACCCCTCGTCCTCCCCCAGCTCCTCTGCCAGTGCCATGGTCCAGCTAGGATTTGGGATCTCAATCCCACATTGTCTGGGATTCTGGGGAAGTCATCTTCCTGGGAGAGCTGTAGAGAGCAGGACCTTTGCATCTGGGATGCAGCCCTCATCCCTGGGAGGCTGAGAGTCTGAGTGAGAGCCTCAGGAGCAGCAGCCAAGCCCACCTGGCTGCCCTCAGCAGGGCAGGCTGCTCTGCAGCACCTTCCTGGGAAACAAATGTCCACAGAGCCCCCGGCACGCAGCGCCAAAAGCTTCACCTCCTGAATGGCTGCTGTGATAATCCTGTTTGCTCTGTCTTAGTGACTGAAGAGAACCATAACCAAGAAAAACAGCAGGATTATCCCCCAGCACCTGTTCCCACTGAAAGAATTATCATAGCTGGCTGCATCAGCGACGTCCCCTGGGTATCACCATGAAAGCAGCCTGAGTGGCAACCCACCAGAAGAAGACCTCTCTCCCCTTCTGCATGCCTCTTTCCTGGGTATTTTTAGCTTCTGGAAACTCCTCACAGACAAAGGCCAGTCCATATAGCTACAAGTCAGTGTCAGTGTTTTCATGTCTGCAGAGCTCAGGCTTGCTCTCCAAATAGCTTCATCTCTTGTTTGTCTGTCAGGGAGGCAGCCTGAGAAGTATGGGCTATAAACTGCCAGGCTGAGAAGACAGGTAGCAGCTTTAAAACACTTAAAAAACAAGCTTTTTTCCCTGCTCAACATTCCCTGTGTTTTTGTTGTTCCAGCACAGTATCTGACCCACTCACCTCACAACCTGGTAGGGCTCTGTTGTGCTGCCTTTACATCTACAATACAGTGGTAGCTGATGTAAGAGCTATTTACTGCAGGATGAAAATGATTGATTGCAGAAAGAGACATCTTCCTCAAGGCTGTTTACATGGGGAAGCAGGAAAACTGGAGAGGGTCCAGAAAAATTTGGAAGGGACTCAGCTCATTGGTGGATGCAGCAGGAATGCAACGCTCCTGCAGATGGAGGACTTGTGTTTTCAAACTCACCTTCCAGACGTGAAACCTGCCCCCTGTGCCCTCTTGGCTCTCTTGTGGGGTCACCTGAAATACCAAGATTTGCTCAAGCACCGTGAAATTGCCAGTGGGGTTTGCAGCAGTGCCCTGAAGGCTGGTTCTGCCTCAGAGACGTGCTGCAACTGCCCCAAGGCCTCTGTGACATGAGCTGACACCTCTTTCCATTGGTCTTCTCAAGGAGGGTCCTTCCATCTCTTAAGCAGAGGCCTTGGAGAACAAATTACCACAGTCACAATTTTTTTTTCTATAATGGAATGTAACATTAAACAAAATACTGGAACATGGAGAAAAACAAAGCAAAACCACAGAAATTATCCTTAGCTTCTAATGATTTTTGCAAAACACTGCTGAAAGTAGGTTTTATAGGAAAAAAAAAAGTATTTATCATATCTGTCAACACTGGAAAACTATGGTTAAATTCAAATTTTATTTTAAACTCTGACTACGATCCAGCAGTGATATGAAATTTATAAATAGCTTGTCATACACCACAGTATAAAAAGTACATTTACCCTCTTGTTATTGAGACTAATTCATTGTTTTATATGAGATGGGAATTAACTTTACCCCTCTGACCATCAAAACAGAGAAAAGAATGAAAACCACAGCGAGGAGAGCAAAACCAACCCACACATCAGAGTCTCCTGAGAAAAGCACCATAGGAAAATGGTCCCTGATGGAAAAGGCCACCCTGATGCTGAAGCTTGGCTACATCTGGGCTGAGTCCAGGCAGTACCAAGCAGCAGAGGTCTCTGATCCCCACCGTGGTGCACAGGATCTCACCCTCTGACCTGCATAAAAGCTGTTCTCAAGCCCTGAGCCAGCCAGGTCCCCAGTTCAAATCACTGACACTGTGCATGGGTGGCTCTTTCCAAGGACTTCACCCTGTTGTTTTTGGCCATGGCTTTGACAGGATGGCTGCAGACAGCTCCTTGTGCCAGCTCAGCTTCAAAGCAAGAAAAGTCCTGTGGCCCTGGTCCCAAGGCACTGCAGAGACTCTCCTGGCACAGCTCAGTAACACAGGGATAAACTGGGCACTGTCTGGCTGTGCAGCTGTTTTACTTGGTCAGGAATTTCCACATGGCTGATGGTGCTGATGCCTCTCCTGTGTTCTTGCCATGCTCCTGGTGTTTCCCAGTGGTTCAGGTACCATGCTCTGCTACAAAGGGGTAGAGCCTGTCTGGGCTTTTAAGGTGCTCCTTGAGATCTCTTAGCAGCTCCATGTCATTGGTGCCTCTGCCAGAGAGGACCAGCAGCTTCCAGGTGGGAGAGGATAGAAGTATTCTCCTTGGATATTTCAGTCTTGGAATCTCAGATAGAGGAGACAGCATTCCTTTATCCAAGCTCCATTAATATCCCATTAAAAAAAGGGCAAATGTTCCTCATTCTTGGGGCCAGGCAGAGTCAGTGTGCTCTGCTCTGCCCAGGGCTCTGGCCATATCCCAGACTGTGTGTGTGGGGGAGATGCAGACCATGGGCTGTGACAAATGCAGCTCGTCAGGATGCTGGCTGGCTGCAGAGCATGCAGCAGCACAGAGGCCATCACTGAAGTGGCAGGGAGTCTGTGACCACAGGGTGGCTGTGGAGAATGCTGTGGAGCAGCACAGAGAGGGAAGATGGGAAGCTGGTGGCGGGAGGCTCCAAGCAGCAGCAGCCAGGAGCCAAATTGTGACATGGGGAGATAAGGTTCTTGATGGATAGACCTCAGAAGGTTTGAAGGTTTTTGTTCTGCTTGGATAAGCAGTGAAATATTCACACAGATAAACTTCAGAAATGCATCTGATCTGAAACCCTTTGTGTCTTAAAAGACAGGGCTGGAAATAGAACAAGAGAATTCCTCCGTGGCTTTTGTGGCTCCTGGGTTTTCCTTCCCCAGCACCAGGATGACCAGAATTTCCCACACCAGCAAACCAAGAGCCAGGACAGCTCTAACAGCCAGACCTTCCCTGAACCTCAGTTGAATGCCTGAGGTTCAGGCTGAGTACCAGCCTAGATGAGGGCTGAAGGCAGCACTGAGCATGGCCAGCAATTAACCTGCACTTGGAATATCAGTGCTGGAGTGCTTTTGGAGGGTGCATCACTTCCTTGGAAACAAATTGGAGCCATGTACTGTACCCCAGCAAGTTTCCTTGTACCACAAGTTGTTTAAACTGTTTGTCATTATGCATTTCCCATTCAGACAAAAACAGACCACAGAGCCTGAGGCACCAAGGCTGGTAGGAAAACGGAAATCCTGCTCCAAGTGGGCAGAGAGCAGCTCCCTGGCTCTGGGCAGCGCTGGCAGACCCAGCAAAGGTTTGGGGCAGGAAATAGCAATTTCTGGCTCTGTAGAAACCTTTCAGGTTCACCTTTGAAATATGACTCCCAATCAGTTCTGCAGAATTTCTGTCTGAGCATCCCCCAGCTTTGGCATGCCTTAGGGAGGAACCAGGTCCAAACCCCGAGGTCAGAGCAGCAGAGGGCTTCCAGCAAGCCAGAGAGTCCATTTAGGGTCCCCTGTGTCTCTCCCTGGGCTTTTCAATTTGCCATTTATTATTTTGCCCTAATGAGTCTCCCCATCCAACCCCTAGCTTTAACCTCTTCCCTTCCAAGCCGTGCCTGGAATTTAAAGGAGAGAGTTGTTTATGTTAAATAGCTTTGTAGTAGTTTCCTCCTCCGCCACCTCCCTTCCTTCCCCAATAAAAGCCCTACGGCATGTTTGGCAAATGCTGTAAACAAAGAGGAGGGTTTGGAGACCCAACAAATATTTGGTGAACCCAGTGGGGAAATAATGCCTTTTTTGAAGGACGCTAGAGCCTGAATTCATAATAGTAGGAAACTAGCGTCCAGCCTAGGTAAGGAATTGTCTACTTGCAGCTACCAGGAATAAAATACAGATGCCCATGCAGCCAAAAGTCATCACTGGGAGCAGGGGGTTAACCCTGTGTTTTCCTCCCCAGTCAAAATGGTGCTGATGGCAGCAATTCTATGTGTTTGCTAATCTCCAAATACTTGAATTTGTGACAAGTGGGCAGGGAAAGGAGAACATAAAAAGGCAAGAGTGTTTTGAACTCACCTAGGCTGATGAACACAAGGCAATGAAAATCCATTAGCCTGGCTGCTCCCTGCAGAGGAAAACCAGGCACACAAAATCCAATTCATTATTCTCTTTCTTATTTAACGCTAAGTAAGTCATTGAACTTTACTACTTGATCTATCCATTTTCTTTAGTAGTAAGACTGCAGGAAATCTTTCTCTTCTCAAAGGGGGTTTCAAGTTCCTCACTGATATCATGTAAAAAATACTTGGGAGTGTATGAGTAAAAAATAACTTCATTTCAAAGAGAGCTTGAGCCTTGCAGATAATGATAATTTTTCTTCTCTGAAGCACAGAACAGAAAAGTGGAGGCCCCTGAGAGCTGGGAGCACCATTGTTCTTCTTCCAGGCCATTATCTGGAGACAGGCTCTGAGATAGGCTCCAATGAGGCCATGGGAAGGATTATCTGCTCGGAGTGCTAATGGCATGCATTTGACAACATCAGCCATTTAATTTATGAGGTGCCTTGTAACCCAAAGGCAAAGAAATTCATACCATGCAGTAGCCCAAACACATCCGGTGCAATTAAAAATTGTCTGATCAAAGCCCAGCTCTACAGCCCCTCTTACCTAACTGCAGCTATGTAGAAAAGTTCCACCTTCCTAAAAGGCACCTTACTGGATTTTGTACTGTTATGGCAGCGTTATATAACGACAAATACATTAATGGAAACTACCGAGCACTGAAATCATTCCAGCCTTTTTATCACCACATTCCTTGCTCCCACATAAGTGAAGTGTGCAGGAATAAAAGCTGCTCAGCATCATTCACCAGCAGACACACATCATGGGGTTTGCTCACAAGCCTCTAACAGCTCAGTGGTGCCCATGAGTGTTGGGGTTCATACATATGCTCTGGGCAAACAGAGCTGCTCTTCCTGGGGAATTATTTTTCCACGGTCCTTGGCTTGTGGCCATGCCACCCACTTGCATTTGAGGACAGTTTAGTGCTGTGACCCACATGAGTTACTCTTTTAGCTGCCCTGGTCCCAGTCTCTGTCAAAAGTTTGTCCCATGCCCCATGCCGTGATCTTGGAAATAATCAGACTTAAATAATTTCTCATTCTATTGCACCAGTATTTATAAAAAACTAAATTTATCTTGACTCTTCACATATAGTAGAAAGCTTAATGGCTTAGTCACTAAGCCTCTGAATAGAATATTCAGAGCAACTTCTGAAAGGGAGGGAAGGTTTGGGTGGCAAGTCCTCTTTTTTCAGCACAAGTTAAGAAAAACAATGGCCAGAGAGGGCTGGTCTGGGTCTCAGCTTCTGCACTGGACATGACATTGGTGATCACAGTGATGGATCCAAATCAGGGCTGCTACCAAACCAGATGCTCCCTAACCCATCTCTCTGCATCTTCCTATGCCAGTTGTTACCCTTGTTTGTGCAAACCTCGTCTGAAGGGGCTGGTTTCCAGCCCCAGGAGCCCACTGCCCCTGCAGCAGCACAGGACATGGAATGGGAGCTGAGGGCTGGGGAGGAGAGGGGACAAGCACTAGCCCTGGCTTGGACGGGCTGATGTTGAAAACCACAGACAGGCATCTACCCTGTTGCCAGACAGCTGGTGACTGCCTGGCAGTGAAACAGGAACAAAACCTCTCACGTGGATGTTCTCAAGGTGGTTTAGAGCACTGCTACAACACCTGTTGTGACTGGCAATTACTGCAGAACCTGCCTGGTGCTGCACATGAGATAAAAGCTCCAAAAAGCCCGAGTATTCGACACAAGCTGCTTTGTGAGCATCTCCACAGATGCTCCCGTGTCAGATCCAGCCTGGATGCACCGGTGGTGTGGCTGTCCTAGTCTGGGACCCGCCGGGGTACCAGGTCGGGGATGTGTGTGAGCAGCAGGTCCCACATCGTGCCCACGGCGAGGATCGCGGACCGCTGCCTGCAGCAGCACATCCCGCACCGCCCTGCGTGTCCCGAGCGAGCCACCGAGATTTCATTTGACGGCTCCCCAGTGAGCATTTAGGGGAAGAGCCGGACAAACAAAGCAGCCCTGGCTGAAGGCGGGCTCTGCGAGCGGGAGAGCCGTGGAACAATGGGAGCTTTGTGGAACATCTCCCATCACCTGCCCCAGCCCAAGAGGAAGCGCTCCTCCCTCCGTGCACAATGAGAGGCGCGGGCTGGCACCACCTCTGTGTCTCGGGACACCTCTGGGTCCCTTCTGACCCAGGTGAGAGGGGCACACATTGTACACGCGAGCGGGAGGTGACTGCGGGCACAGAGCGTGTCCCTGGGGTGGCTGTGGTGGATGGCATTTGTCCATCACCAGGGTCTGTAACCCTCACTGGACCAGCTGGTGCGGGGCTCTCCATCTGCACATGGAAACTTTAACCCTGAGCATTGCTCTCCCTTCCCCACTAGGAATTCCTGCCGAGGGCTTTTCTTGATTTCTTCTTCTTAACAAGAGGTCTCTAAATTTTGTCAGCAAAGCACTGTTCAGTTTTACCACATGGAAAAATAGTTTGTGATGAGCTATTGCGCTGTCCCAGCAATTGCTCCTTACAGTGGCAGGGTCCCCCTCTGAGGGAGGGCAGCTTGCAGATTTTAAGGGAGCTGCAGCACTCACCTGACTCTGCAAAATGACTTATTGGGAGCTGAAATATTTATACACCTAGCAGCTGCTGAGATTTTGAGCTCTTTTGTGTCTCTGTTTGCATCTTTGGTGTATACACTTAGATCTGCCTTTCAAAGTATTGTGCCAATGAACTTATGAGCAATTACCAAAAGAATTTTAGTAGGAAGAAGCCAAATATCATGGCTTTGAGAGAGACACTGGGCCAGGCATGCAAAGGTACATCACTGCCTAGAGACACACACACAACAGTTGCTAATGGCTAAGGCACTGAACTAGTAAAAAATCCTCATTTAATCTCATTAAGGACAACAGGATTTGGTGCATTACAAAGGATCAAATGGGAAGGGTACACCATTACATCTGACATGCTCTGCTAATCATGCCAATGGCAAAATCTGCAAATGGTAAGCTTCTGTTTCCTTCTTTGGGTTGTGAACCTGGAGGTCAGGACTCATTTCCTATTTGTTTGGGAATTTTGCACTCTGGTGCAGCCCATATTAATAACTCTGAGCATCAATCCTGAAGGGAATGGGTACAACCCAGACACTGCCCAGCACCTGGTACAGTTCATGTCTGGATTCAAACAGCTGCCAGGGCACAGACAAAAAAACCAACTTGTCCTACTGGGTGCTAAGGCCAAGCAGACAAACATTACCATGAAAAACCTGGAAGTTGAGTGGGGCAGGGCAGGAAAAAAGTTAACTTGTGAAGCAAATGTGAGTACCAAGCTGCTGGTTTTGGTGAACCAGGAAGCTGATCACCAGTTTACATAACAAACCCAGACTCTGCTCCATTTCCAGCACGGCGGGGCCGATTCTGTGGCTGGTTGGAAGGACAGAGGATGAGTCAGGGCAGGGGCATGGCTGGCACAGCCAGGGCAGCATGGGCACACCCTGCACCCCACAGCACCTGCCCACAGCACTGCCACCCCCTGAGGCATCTCCTGCTTGGAACACGGAACAGGAGGGTGGCCCCAGGCTGGGGGATGGCCCAGGTCCAACAAAACTCAGCTGGAGCCACTTGGAGAGGAGGAGGAGATGCTGAGGGGGTCCCATGTGTGGGAGCTGCGTGGCTTTACATTAGCTGAAAGCGGCTCAGGTGTGCTTTAGTCTGCTGCTGTTATCCACAAAGAATAAGAAAAACTTCTAGGAATGTTTTGGGCATATTTCAGCTGCCAGTTCTTTGGTGGCATGCTCCTATATGGAATGTCTAACCTCTCACACTTCTTAACCTGTTTCCACAGTGTCTCTGTCTGGTGTATCCCAATTGCACTTTACCAGTAAAAGTCAACACCTAGAGTATAGCCAAAGATACCCCAGTTTTCCTTTCTGCATTGACAATCCTGTGTTTGCTCACTAGCATCACCTTTTTTAGCCTTTTCCCATCTTGGTCACTTTTCCCAGCAGAGTTTGGCAGGCTGAAGTTACTGAATTGCAGGGATAAATCACCTGCTGTTACCATGGGCGGCTGCTCTTCGCAGAGGGGCGGGCATACAAACATCTCAGAGAAAAAGCAGATCAATTTCTTCTGCCAGATGATTGTCAAAAATATTGTTGATCTTACATTATGTGTTGTTGGTTATATGAAGAGAAAGAATCCTTACTTCCTCCTGGGGTGTTTGGGAATTTGGCAGGGTCTGAAAGCGAGTCAGTGGTGCATAGGGAAATGCTCCATGGGGAGAGTGTGCTTAGTGCTATTGCAGGAGATCACGTTAGTGCTCTTGACACAATCAGACAGAAAGTCCCAGCTGAACAATGAGGTTTTAGGATGAAAAGAGAAACATTAGCAAGGTGTGTACATCGCCGTGAATTTGCTTCATCTTGCTCGTTGATGTGGTGGTAACAGAACTATTTTTAGGTATAATCCTTCAAACAGAACATGACTTCTCCTTTCTGATTAGTACAAAGCTGGCTGCTAGTCAAAGGATAATTATTTCCCAACACATCACCTAACACACACCAGCAAACAAAACACTCATTATTTGAACTGTCCAGCACTAACTGTTGTTTAGCAGTTAACATTTTCTCAACAGCTTTAAACAGGACTAATTGCTCCAGCTTCATTAGCAGAGGTCATTTGCTGTTGGTAACAATACTTTTATGGAGATAGTCTCTCGTATGAGATTAGATTATCAGGTCAAATTCTGCTCCCAGTGGCAATGATGCCTGACCGCATTTGGCCTCACGAAAGTCTGCTCTTTTCAGTTCATAGCTGCCCAATTTCCAGGCCTGCAGCTGATCTATTACATAAAGGAAGTAAGTGCACTCCACCAGACGGGAAATTACAATAAATTAGGAGAGTGTGCAGCACAAGGAAGTTTTGCAAAATAGCCACTTCAAGGCTGTTAATAAAACCTCGGCTTCAGATAAGGTTTAGGAAAAAAAAAAGCCGGTAAAGAAGTTGTCCTTATAGTCGATGACACATGGATGGATACCCAAAAGGGAAAGCAGCATCTGCATAAGAACCAGTGCATGCAGCAACTCAAAGACCCAGGTGATGCTGTCAAATGCACAGTTCAGATCATAAGCCACCCGTTTTGCACATAGTTCCATGCTGCTTGGAGCTATAGACAGTGGATGCCGAGGGCTGCAGTCTTGGATTGCAGTGGACTTGCAGGAGGGCTTCTGTGCAGCTCTCACTGGTGGGGAGCCCTTCTGCAGAGCCTGCTGAGTGTCTGAAACAGACTCAGCTCCCTGAGCACACACAAAACTGAATCCAGCCCTTCAAGGCCATCAATTCCCATTCAAACACGTGGAGAGAGGCAGCCTTCTTTTCAGAAGTGCTGAGCAAACACTGCACGGAGTGTGGCCGGCGCCTTGGAGAATCAGGCGTCTTCCCTGTGGAAGTCTCCAGGCATCCTCGCCAAACAATTTTGGTCCTGGCAGCTGCAGGACATTTTCTCTGAGCGGATTTCTGGGTTACCTGTGTCTCCCTTCCCTGCAGGCCTGCAGCTCTTTGCTGTTGCTTTCCTGCCCACGTACGTGTGCAGCCGCATGCCTACCACCTTTTCTTTCTGACTTGCAGCTCCAACTGCTAATCCATGTCTGGTTTTTGTCAGAAAAAAATATTCCTCCTGAGTGTTTGACTCACTGCCTCCAGAGTATTTCAGCTGCCCCACAGCGCTTCTCAGAGTATCCTTCTTCCCTGCAGAGAACAGCCTGTTCTGAGTGTGATCCACAGCAGACTGCTCGCCAGCAGCCTCCCCTTCCTCGCACACGTGTGTGCCATATGTCCTGCTCTGTCCTCGCTGTTACTGTGCCACCGCCTTTTCCACGCCGTGCAAGATGGATTGGCATCCCCTGTGCAGGCTGCCAGTGGATTACTTCAGCTCTCTACGAAGGCACTCAATGTGTCAGCCTCCAGACTCTTCCAGCAGGTCCTCAACTGGCCAAAATTCAACAGCAGACAAATCCTGACTGCTTTGCTGACACAGCTGGCCCTTCTGAGGTCAGTGGGCTAAACTCATCCTACCTCCGTGCCATTACACTTGTCCAGGAGATGCATCACCCAGTACAGTTCTTCAGCAGGGCAAGCAGAGCAAGCTCTGGCCATAAATTTCCCACCTAAGTTGGACCCTGTTGAAGCAAAAATGTCACCACTTTTTAAAGTCTAAGGACAGAAGTGTTTGGATAGTTAAAACTGAGTGTTTGAACTGATTTATGACATGAAGAGCCAAATCCATTAGGCTGTCCTGCTCCATGCAGTAGGCCCTGTGCTTCCCCAGGATCTAGCACCCTGCTGAGGATGAGGGCTTGACACTCACTTCAGTTCCCAGCCAGGTGCTGAGATCCTGTCCTGCTCTACCCAGCAGGCAGGAACCTGGCCCTGCCCTGGCTCTGTGGTCCATAACATGCACAGTGCTGTCTGCCCATCCCATCCCATCCCATCCCATCCCATCCCATCCCATCCCATCCCATCCCATCCCATCCCATCCCATCCCATCCCATCCCATCCCGTCCCGTCCCGTCCCGTCCCGTCCCGTCCCATCCCGTCCCGTCCCGTCCCGTCCATGCACAGCCAGCATCTCGCTGCAGTTGCTGGCATCAGACTTCACCATCCAGGGCACCCTTTTGGTCCTGTTGTGTTTGCTGCAACCAAAGATAAAACCAGATTTTTTTTTTAATTATTTGATGGCAGAGCCCACTTCACTTAACTCCTGACCTGATGTCACCCCATCATTTTAAGGAGCCTATTTCACTGTTATCAAGGAAGACACCATTAACTGTAGCTCACATCAAACTCCAGTGACATCAGTGGAAAAGTATTATTTACTTCTCCAGTCCCTTTATTTTGTATTTGCATAAAAATAGTAACTTTTTTTTCCTCCTGAAAATACAACATTAGAAATTGCAAAGGACAAATTCCTTAACTTTGAAAACAAAGAAAAATGAACAACTGGTTTCCAAAACAAACCGCGAGCCACCACCCCGAAGAACTTTCTTTGGGAAGTGCTGTTCTTGGGAGCTGATATTTAATTAAACTATATTCCTAAGTTTAATAAAGGTAAAAAATACTTCACTTTTATTCTGCACTGTCTTTTTGTTTCTCTCTCTGCCATTTACTCACTTCAGTAATGAAACCACAAGGATAGAGCACACCTTCATAAAGCAATAAAGGAACACAATCCTTCGGAGCAGGGACACGAAGCTGCAGCACTCCTGCTCAGTCTAACTCCTTGCTTAGATCAATGAAAAATACAACATTCAGTTATCATGATCTGCTTGGGCAGGATCAGGCCTGCTGTCAGCATGAGGTGCACCCACTTGTGGGGTGGCATGTAGTGCTTACGGAGATTTCTTGCTACTCAAGACCATTTTAAGCTTTCAAATTAAGCGTCCTCTGTAATCTTAAATATTCCGGTCTCCTGACTCCCAGCCATGTACTCCAACGACAACAACAACAAAAGGGAAAAAAAAAGAAAAAATTAAAAAAAGAGACTAATATATTCCAGAAAGGAATAGTTCAAGAAAATTAGTATCATTATCAGAGTGGAAACACCTTGTCTTTAGCCATTAATTTTTTCCCATTAATAAGGGAAGTCAGTGGACCTCACTGCAACAGGAACACAACCATACTGGGTTTTCAAACAGGTTTTTTACAACACTGTGTCAGGAAAAGCCATTAGATCAAGTTGTATTGGTAATCTGAGCCATCTTTGGAGAAAAACAAATGCTGTTCTTCCCATTATAGGTTGGTGTTGTTTCAAAACCTATAGAGACACACTTGCTTGTGCTGCAATGGTATTTATTGCACATAGACCAATTACTTACACAGTAGTAAATTGCACCAAAGTATAAATACGTTATAAAACACACACAGAGAGAAAAATGGAAATGACACACAAGTGCTAAAATAACAGCAGATTCACGTGGGCATTTGGAAATAAAAATAAAAATAATAAAGTCTCTTAAGATGTTTTAATTTATAATATGGATATATTTACAGTACCTTCGAAAAATAATATTAAAAAAAGTCACTCTCTCAATAAAACTATAACAGATCTGACAAAACCAGAAATCAGGTTCAGGGTTGGTGTTACGCAAACCTCAGTTTCCTTTTCAATCTGCGTGTATGTACGTGTGTGCAAGTAATATCTTCAAATAACTTTACAACTCTTTAACACTGTGCAAAAAAACGACTTTGTCGCCATTTTTAAAAAAGAAGTGTGCAGTAAATTTTTGTTGCCAGGATTCTCCCCCCTCCCCCCGTTCATCTGTAATTACAATGAACAAGCTGCAGAAGGTTCCTCACCCCTCCCTCCCCGGCCCTTGTCCTAAAACCCTATTAGTGGTATGTAAATATGCTGTTTAATATAAACATGGTCCGTTCATTCCCCTGTACAATATGCACAGTTTGAGGTAGAAGTTTCTCAGCCTGACTGCTATTGCCTGGCCGAAGGAGATAAGCACAGTAACTCACTGCTGGCTGATGCAGAGGGAATAAGCTCAAGAGTGTGGCTCGGGTTGTTTTACCCCCTTTCAAAATACACCAGCGCTCCTCATTGCTCATTATTTTCTATCTCTCTACTCTGCAGACGAGGAGAGAACGGCTACTCCGAGCTTAAAACCCATCCTGCCGGCAGGTCTCCGTCTCGCCGGCCGCGCTCTGTGCCCGGAGCACCTGCAGCACCGACCCGCGCCTCCCAAAATCCCGGTGCCCCGGGAGAGGGGGTGAGCCCCGGGCCAGGCGGGGTGGCCGGACCGCAGCTGAAGCCGCCAAGGGCCAGCACCACCCGCTGGTTCGGCCACCAGCCCGGTCCGGGACAGTCACCGGAGCGCGGGCGCTGCCGCCGCCGTCCCCGCGACAGCGCGTCCCCTAAAGACGCGGCGGCTGTCTCTGGGATAGCCAGAGACAGATGTTTCCTTCGCTGTCCGGTCAGTGGCTTTCCTGTTTTCTGTAGTTTGGGATGAGGTATGTCGAACACCAGTTCACCTGCTTTTATTCCTAAGCAAATAGCCGCACTCCCCCTGCCAAGGCAGGGATCGTTCTGCTCGGCGCTAGCGTTACCATCAGGCAGCTGCCGGGGATTTCTGCTCCTGCGTGTCTCCCTGCCTGCCTTTTCCCCTGTCCCGGCTGCGACGCGGCCCCCCACGCCCCCTATACCTTGGACTCCGAGTCGGAGGCTTTGCTATGCCTCTCGTCCAGGCTGGACTCGCTGCCGCCCCGCGTGCCCCCGTTGCAGTCGGACCAGGTCCCGGCCAGGCTGCGCTCGGGGGAGCCCACGGTGCTGATGAAGCCCCCGGGCAGCCGGGCCAGCTCCCCGCCGCCGCCGGGCAGCCACCGCTCGGCTTTCCGGCGGCAGCACAGCAGCCTCTTGAAGGCCTTACGAAAGTCGGGGCTGCGGCAGTAGATGATGGGGTTGAACGCGGAGTTGGCGTAGCCCAGCCAGTTGAAGAAAACGAAGAGCCAGTCCGGCACCAGGTCCCTGTTGAAGACGTTGACGATGTTCACCAGGAAGAAGGGGAGCCAGCAGAGAGTGAACACCCCCATGATGATGCCCAAAGTCTTGAGGGCTTTCTGCTCCTTCATGGCCATGATGCGAGAGGTCTTTCGCTTGCTGGCTCGGCCGTTGCCGAGGATGGGCTGGTGGTGAGGGTGAGCGGGCAGGGGCGTCTGCGGCTGCTCCTGGCTGCCGTAGAACCGGCCCTCGCACCTATCGATCTTCCTCATCTGCTCCTTGGCCTCTCTGTACACCCGTAGATACACAAAGATCATGATGAGAAGGGGGATGTAGAAAGAAATGATGGACGAGGCGATGGCGTAAGCCCTGTTGGTGACGAAGTCGCAGCAGCCCGGATCCTGGTAGCACTCCAGCGCCTGGGGGTCGTCGTCCCGCCACCAGTGCATCATGATGGGCAAGAAGGAGACGAGGGCAGAGATGGCCCAGACGGTGCAGATGATGCCCTTGGCCCGACCCTTGGTCATGAGGCTCTGGTAGCGGAAAGGCGAGGTGATGGCCAGGTAGCGGTCGATGGCGATGACGCACAGGGTCTCGATGCTGGCCGTCACGCAGAGCACGTCCAGGGAGGTCCAGCACTCGCAGAGGAAGGACCCCCAGAGCCAAGTGCCCCGCACCACCAGCGTGGCCCCGAAGGGCACCACCAGCAGTCCCATCACCAGGTCGGCGCAGGCCAGCGAGGTGATGAACAGGTTGGTGAGGGTCTGCAGCCGCTGCGTCCTCCCGATGGCCGCGATCACCAGCACGTTCCCGGCCACGATGAGCAGCACCACCAGGGCCATCAGCAGGCTCATGCCCACAGCCCACTGCTGCGACAGCTCGGCGGCGGGCAGCTGCCTGCTCCCAGGCGGCACGGCCGTCACCCCGGCCACGGAGCGGTTCTGGGGGCCGCAGTCCGGAGGCAGCCACCCATCGCCCATGGCTGTGCGGGGCGCTCCGGCCGCCGCTCCGCACCGCGCCGCGGGCAGGAAGGCGGCGCCGCCGCCGCTGCCACCGCCCGGGGGCTGCCGCATGGCCCCGCGCCGCGCCGCCGGACGAGCCCGCCCCGACACCGCCCTGGCACCGCCCCGGTACCGCCCCGGTACCGCCCCGTACCGCCCCGGTACCGCCCCGTACCGCCCCGGCACCGCCCCGGTACCGCCCCAGCGCCGCCCGCCGCCAATCGGCACCGGGGAGCGGGAATGAAGCGCCCCGCCCGCGCACCGGCGGTACCGCTGCCCCTGTCCTGCCCCTATCCCTGCCCCTATCCCTGCTCCTATCCCTGCCCCTATCCCTGCCCCTGTCCTACCCCTATCCCTGCCCTATCGCTGCCCCTACCCCTGCCCCTACCCCTGCCCCTACCCCTGCCCCTATCCCTGCCCTACTCCTGCCCCTATCCCTGCCCTATCCCTGCCCTACCCCTGCCCTATCCCTGCCCCTATCCCTGCCGGTACCCCGCCCGGACCCCCCCGGACCCCGTCTTTGCTCTGGCTGCGCTCTGCCTGCCCCGCGGCTGCCGGGCACAGAGCTCCCTTCCCGCACGACAGCGTGGATGTCCTGGGCAAGGGGTGTCTGTGCCCGGCAGCCGCAGGGCAGGCAGGGGATACGGGTAGGGTGGGCTCCTACCGGCTTCTGGAGCAGAAGTTACTTCTCTTTATCCCTAGAAAAAGCAAAATGCCAGCACTGTCAGCACCATTCTCCACTGGAAAGTAATTTACATCCCCTCCCATTGGATGTCCCCATCAGGGACAAGTGCCTTGCGGGCAAACCCCCTGTCCCCTGTGCCTCCTCTCGCAGCCTGGGCAGCCCCAGAGCTCCCATGTAAAACCCTTACAGGGATGATGCTGCCAGCTCCGTGCCGGGACTGCGGCTGCCGCTTGTCCCCTGCATCTCCCCATTGCGAATCCTCTTTTCCCCTTCTCCTCCAGCCCTGCCAGACCAAGCCACTGCTGGGTTGGGAGGTGGGAGCCCCAGCTCCCTTTTCTGGCTTTTCTCTGCTGTGTTGAACAGATCTCTCTGTATTCCTAAAAATGCCTGCAGTAGCTGTTACACAGTCTGGTCAAACCCACGAAATCCAGGGACTGCTCTAAGTGTTAATGCTGTTAGTACCATTATTTGGTAATGAGCAGTAAAGTACGTGAAGCATCAGGAGGCTGCAATGCGCAGATAACCAACTGAGCAAATCCCTGCCCAGGTCCCCTGCCCTTCTGTGAGACCTGCTGCTAGGATCTTGTTTGGTTATATTTCCATTTACCTGCTTGGCTCTCTGTTCTGCTCTGAAGCTGTAAGACTGCATTTTACTGTATTAAACTTCTTAAAATAATGTGGAACAACCACTGAGTAAATGAGAACAATGTCCCCTCTCTCCTGCCTTTTAAATCATTGGCATGTCTTTACAGCAGCACCAAGTGTTCCCCACAGCACTCTGGGAGCAAATGGAAGTCACAGTTATTTCCTTCCCCCTATATATTTATTCTGCTAAGACTGCTCTGCTGTTCCAGAATGGCCCATAAAAATCTCTTCTAGGCTTAGGCTTGATTTACAAGGTCACAACCTGGGAAAAAATAATATTTATTTATTTATTTTCACACTGTTTATTTAACCCTGACTAAAGGCCGCACACCAGCATGGACCTGCTGCTTGGCAAACCATTCCCTCGTGTTCCCATGGACTTTGCTTTGCTGCTCGTCATCTGCTGGACCAAAGCATGACCCTCTTAAGTGGGAAGGGAAAGAGGCATGACATCTTCAAGAACAGAGGGAGACCTTATGCCAAATGAAAAGCAGAAGGGTTGTTTCCAGGAGTATTGCCTAGGTCTGGTATCTGTAATTCTGATCTAAAAAAAAAAAAAAATGTAATAATATGAAACCAGGTTAGTGGAGCTGTGGGATAGAAACAATTTTTTCTTTTCTACATTTAGCTGGAACATTTAAAGTAAGTATGAGGTCCATGGTGCATCATTGCACCAAAACCTTCACAGATGAGATGCTTGGATGAATTCTGTGAATGTGTACAGTCCATTTTAGCATAAAATCAGCCAGAAAAATTCTGATAAAATCTTACATATTTTTCCCAAGATGACACTGAAGCAGTGGTGGGGATACCCTGCAGCTGTTTTACTTGCTATTCCTGGAGCACCATCCATCTGTCATCTGTCCAGATCCATTACTTCTGTAATATCTTTACACAGTTAATAAACACCATAAACTAATAAAATGCCAACTCTTTGCCTAGCAAGCTGTCCTATCAGATCTCCAGCAGGAGGTCTCTTCCCACCGTAAGAGAAGATAAGCTGAGAGGTTGGAGGAGTAAAGGAAATTAACAAGTATGCAATAAAGCAGAAGACACATAATTGTGTGTTGCTTCTCCGTGTCTTTGTTGGTTCCACACACGCCAATCTGGAATGTCAGATCAGAACTGGAGCCAGAACGTCTTTGGGAAACAATGTATCTCCAAAGGAAAAAATAATCAAGTTTACAAATTCTGTACAGAACATCCCTCTGGCCCTTGCAACACAGAGCAGCCAAATATTCACTGTGGGCTTAACCCCTTTAAAATTATTTAAATACTTCCATTTGTTTGCATATTAGTTAAGTATGTTATGTTAGGTCAAAAGAAGAGCTTACAGCACTGAAATGTTTTCTTTCTACTTCCTCTCTAAATGACAGTTTTAATGAGCGACAGGTAGATCTGATGAGAACCAAAATTCATTGCATTTGAGGAGCCCTGTTGGCATGAGCTGTCAAACCTCAGCATTTCAGAAACTGAAGTGATCTACATGGGTGCTTTTTAAACCCAGTCCTTTGAGATGCTCTGCACAGCTTCCAACTTGTCTTTGAGCTCCTCCTTCCTTACAAAACAGATGGTGAGATGAGGGTCCTGTTAAATGGGTTCTGTCCCTACCAGCAGTGGGGCAGGAGGCTGGGAATGCTGCTGGACAGTGGCACTAACCCCTTCCCTCACTGTAGCTGTAGCTAGGGCAGTGGGTTTGCTGTTGCCAGCTCTGATTTGCTGTGTAAGCCATCCCTGAATCTCCAGGGCTGCTCTGAGCTCTGTGTGCCTCGTGATGCCCCTTAGACAATGATTTTGCCTTCCTTGCCCAGTCTTGGTCCAGCTGTGCCTTCATGAATCAAATTCAGGGACCACTATTATTAACATAATTCCCTCTAAAAACATGAGCTATTTGTTCTCTTGAGGCATTAATCAAAGGCCACTGAAAAGCCTGGAAATCCTCCCATTGATTTCAGTGAGCCTCATGTTGTCATTCCTTCTCTGGAGAAAAAGAACCACCTAAAAGCAAATTAAAATTGCATTTGCTGTCCATTTTTCTTCCTGCTGTCTTCCTTAATCTCTTTGCAAACTTAGCATCTGGTAAATCATTTTGTGTTTGCTACCTGGACAGTTGACTAAAACCTGCAGGAAAGTAGGTGAGAAACAGCTCTGCAAGTTCTCATGTGAAGTGATCCGGCTTCACCCTCTCCCTGCTGGCCCAGGAAGAAATCATCACTTGGCTCTATTCACACTAGACATTTGTTATTAGAGAAACAGAGACATGATGGAACATTGCCACAAGATCCATGTCTCTTGCTTTTAAAATAAACATCTTGGCTTTGACTTGACGTTTATTTTCCATAAATGCCTCAGCTTCAATTTGGCATTTCAGCAGCGGCAGGAGGCTGTTATCCTGTGACAACAAGCAACTCCATTGACATTATCTCCTGAGCACGTGTGACAGTGCTCCAAATACAGTATGTAGTTGATTTTAGGTAAACAATATCAGAAAAATATAAAGAAAAGGTATCAAAGAACAGGAGTTCCAGCCCTATGCTGTGTGTGTGACACTAAAATTCCATGGGGTTGCTGTGTACAAGTGTGAGCTACCATAGGAAGCACACCCTGAGTTTGGCTTTGGGGGTCCAAAGCAGTGAATGCTTATTAATTCCTGTTCACTCAAGGGCTGTGGCTGATGTGAAGGTTAGTACATACAGGACAGAGCATATCAATGTTTTGAAAAGCTCCAAACCAATCTGAACACACATAAATAAATCCTGATGCTCTGGAAGACCCTGTCACAGCAACCCAGCTGTTGTTCGGAGTGTTTTTGTCATCAGGAGACTGTCTTACAATCATGCTGATGCATTAATTCCCTTCAGGTGATAAAAGAGATGCAATATATCTTTCAGTCTCTCTCTCACACACTAAGCAAAACAGTGCTGAAGAACAGCCAAGTCATGTTTCTTGTCTCCTGATATCTGTGTTTCATTGTTGCTAAAAAGTCAAAATTCTGAAGAAGGCTGAGTTGGACCAACATAATTCGGTTCTACCAGAATGGACTTTATTTGCAGTCTGGACTAATATTAATCTAGAGCAATAATTATGTGCTCTTTAATGCAGATTACAAATGACTGTAATTGCTCAAGTGTCTGCGGATTCCTGTCTACATCCCCCTGTACTTTCTTGACATCCTGACTCCTCTACAGAGACACAGGCACTGTGAGAAAAGGCTGCCTCTTTTTTAAGCAGCAACAATTCCTGTGAGAGGGGTGGCAAAACATTTTACAGCAGGCCAGAAAACCCTGCAGTGGCCAGAACCTTTATTTATACAGAGAGATTGTGGTCAGAGATGACAGCAGAGGAGTGATGACTGAGTCCTCTGAGGTTTCATGTTAGTCTATTCCTGCTTCAATGCATACTGACTGCAAGAAGTTGCCTTATTTCTCCATCCTGATGCTTACCCATCCATAGGATGAGAATAGCATGCTGTGGGAAACTCCATCTCACATTTTACCTGGAAAAAACCTGGTGCTTTAAAACCACATCTTGAGGTGTGGGCTTGATGAAAAAGCACAGCAGCAGCATTTCGGTGTCCAGCAACATGCTGGGTTGTGGAATTCAGAGACCATTTAATTCCCCTTCACATCATGGATAACTAGAGCACATAAACAAGTGCCTGGAATGTTCCAAAGGATTCATTCAGTGTTTTTGGACATGTGGGAAATCTGTATGT